GGTAATTAAATTTTATAAATTTTTAAATTTAATTAATGCTGAAAATGTGTACACTGTCAGGACACATTTTCCTTTTAATGTGATTTTAATGTATTGACAATCATCAGGTCTAAGTAATTAATATATTGTAATACTGTAGTGAATTAATTACTGTAGATAATTTTATTATCAAATTGGTGGGCCAGTCTGGACATATTAACAGGGTGTTTGAGTGATGTTGGACACCTACCTCAAACCTTGGTTGAAGAAATTACTGGACATTTGTGGCAGGAAAAGAATTGAAGGATAAAATCATCCTTAATCTGAAGAGAGTTTATCAAATTTTGTGGATTTTTCCCCTGATTTTAGTATACAGTACACAGAATATTTTTAGTATATTAATGATACTGTACATGGTTATAATTGGGTATATCAATCGTATTGCCAGCCATCAAGATTCAAACCCCAGACCACCTGGTTATCATTCAATTGTACCATGATTGTACTGTACTACGATGAGGTCTAGCTGGTGTACAATAACATTCAATACAGTATTACACTACCTGTGTGTGGGTTGCAAAGGCTCTTGTACTTATGTACCAGTACGATTTTTGTTGTCTGTTTTGGCATTACTAAACCAATACAAGCTAACCACCTTTTATTTCTGTATTCGACTAGTCTAATTAAGGCACTGATAAAAAGTGCCTTTATTTTAAATAAAGTGCAATGAGAATAATATTAATAATGCTAAATCATGTTGCATTGATTAAATAAATCTGATTTACTGCTGGCCAGCAAAGATGTTGTCGTCATTTTTTGTAATACTGTACATAATTAGGGTCATTAGATCGAACATTTTCAAGGTCACTGTGAAATGGAAAAGCTGTCTGACAGGGCTTATTAGAGAATTTTCAATTGCACGACGCAGTGGGACGTACAACATGACATGGATTCTGGAAAGCAGTTTGACCAAATGTACATTGTGCAGAGAACATAGGACGGTCATGCATGAGTAAATCCATCCTAGCATTGCGGCGCCATGCAAATCAAAAGCTCTCAATTGTCAGCAGGGGCCAAGGGAGATCACCAATAGGGATCAAGGCAGTGGTGGTGCTAGTGGGGAGCCTGGGCTCTCCGTCAGAGAGCTTGGTTGGGAAGGGAAAAAAATGTCTAAATTATTGGCGGTTCCATTGGATTTTGGGCAGCCTATGGCCCTGATGAGGAAATCAACCCCTTGTCAGGCAAATATAATAATCCAGGTTTATCAACCACTAATGCTTTCAGAAATAAGTGGCCAATTATTGGGCAGGCTTACTCCCTTGCCTAATAGCGCTAACAATGTACACCAAAGTTGTATGACAACAGTAATATCACGGATGACATTTAAGCTGGACGCTCGCTGCATTTTCGTCCAGTGAGTTGTAGCGCTTGAGGGGTGGGGGAGGGGAGAAAGAATTTTGGACAGATGATTTGTGCCCCTGACCTCACTTGAGCCTCTACTGAACCTATACAGTACTACACAGAAAGACATAAATACCGATTTCATCCTGCCAGTAAGTTTTATTAGCAAGGTTTAAAATGTATTCTCAAAGAAATGTTGCCAGGACTAGAAATCATTGATCATTGTTAAGTTACCAAAGACCCATTATTGGATAGGAACATGAAAAGCTACATTCAACATTACAATGCACAATCCCTTTCAATCCACCTACATGTACAATCAATACATCACTGACCACTAAAATACATTTTACTATGAAATTAGAAAAGGCTATTAAGAATGTTGTTCTTTTTTACAGAAAAACTCATTCATTCTTTTGAATTCTGTCATGGAATGCAGTTTGTTCAACTAGAATTTGGTATGTTGTTAGATGGACAATATTACATGAGATTATTCATGTGAAATTAACAGAATATCTGGACTATCAAACCTTTTTTTGTGTTAAACATACATGTAGTTTTATGCTAAAATATATATAATGGTAAATTATTAGTAAGTCCCACCTTCAATTGAAATTTCAGTCTCTGAACTACTGAATTTTACAAGGGTTGTATAATTAAAATAACCTTATTCTCAATACATTGAATTATTGCATCTTATGGGTTAGAAACTAAAATGTAAAAGCCAACCTTATAGCATAAATTAAGCAAAAGTAACGTTTTGTTTACTCAGTATAACTACAAGCAAATAAATCAAATTTAATGACATGCAAGAATAACAAATTATCAAACAATTTAAGGACAAAAATAAAGAAAACAATAAATCCTCACATAAACAGGTTTAAAATTATTTCCATCAAAATGTTAGTGAAAAATAGTAATAAAATCTCCATATTTACAAAAGTGATTCACAAAAAATGCAAAATTAAAAAGTAACGAAGATTCAATTTGCATAAAACTTCATAAAAATAAAATCAAATTAAAAAAAGCAATATACACAAGGAATAAAGTCGAAACTCGCACTAAAACTACTGTCTTGTCTGGCATTGATACCACAAGTATAAATACTTCTTAATTAAAATTTAATACTTAATTATGATACTTATCTCCATTAATTGTATGCAGATTACAGTACTTTAGAAATAATGTTTGATTAGATGTAGAAATATCACAGCTAATTTTGTCAGGAACACTGCACATCCGCAGGAACAGAAATTGACAACATTTTCTCATGTATACCTGATATTACGCAGATATTATTGGTTCTACAGCATTATTAAAAATCACATCAACATTACTTCATATACGTGAAACAGGCGAATCCTATCTGGTGTAACCACTGAATTGCAACTTGCTGTTTAAAAGCTGAAATATCTGCCTGAAATGCATCTGGTCTATCCAAGAGCAACGCACACCTGATATAACCACTAGGAATGCATCTTCTATATCCACTTGGAATTCCTATCTGATGTATCCACCAGGAATGAATACCTGATGTATCCACCAGGAATACATACCTGATATATCCACCTGGAATTCATAACTAATGTGCACACCTACAGTATCCACCAGAATGCACACCATGATGTATCCACCTGGAATGCACACTTGGATTGCACACCTGATGTATTCACCTGGAATGCATATCCGATTATCCACCTGGAATTCATACCTGGTTTGTTCACATTCTAACTTTATTATGATTATTATACACTTACTTCTGAGCACATGTGTTGACTGAATATTAAAATTCACTCAAAGGTTAACTGTGACATTAAGCAATGGTTTACTTCTTAGAAGAACAATCATGTGACCTATTATAGCATACTACAGTTGAAATGATTTTAGGTGCATCTAAACTTGGTTGATAATGTGCATACAGCTAATCTGCTCTTAAAAAATGTGCCTTTTACTTAACAATGAACACGTAGTACAGCTGCAGCTCACATCAATGCACAAGGACTTGATATTCACAACCATAATTTACACAGTATTAATTGAATTATAGCATCGCAGAACAACCAGTGAATTCTCTTAAAAGATCAACCAGATTTGAAAAAAACGTCTGTCATATTCTTTTTTTCTTATGACAACCCATCACCACGTTTGTTCCTACAGTGCATCGTCCAGCAATAACTGATTTACAATTACTTAAACATTTTAAAATTGACAGGTAACTGGGGAATGATATAATTTTTGCTGGGATTAAATTTTTATATATATATTTGGTGTCATTATCTACAATTACACTTTGAAGCAATATGATTTTACATTCTTTCACTGGGAAATAAAGGCACATTAAGGGAGGGAGTGTAACATATTGCTTGATAAAACCATGCTTATCAGCCAATGAATATCATGATATTATACTAAAGCAAACCATTAATTTTACACAATTCTACAAATAGTAAAATCCATGTACAGAGGTTCCAAATGAATAGGTTGAATGTTGACAACAATTAGAATACAGTACATCCTGTCTGCCAAGCTAAAGTCAATGCTACCAGTTCAAACTGACTTGGTGCTACAACCAGTTTCATTAAATTCAAATGTTTTTTTTTTATAGATAATTATCCCTTTTTATAAAGTCTTTATGAAGCTATTTACTTTATTAGAATCAAGCATACAATTTTTGCAATTATTCATTGATCAGTGTTTATAATTGCCTGTTTTCTTTGACAGTGCTCTGTTTTTCCATCAAGTTTTGAATCTACAATTTTCTGGTAATTTTCAGTGTCACTCATTTTGATCAGTTATAGAGCTATCACCTTTTATGTACGATTCTACAAACATGATTACATTAATTCTTTGCCTGTGCAACGCATATCCATCTCTTTAATCTTTAGTCTTTATTATCTTCGAATTCCATGTATCACTTTGAGAATTTGCAGCAATCAACGATTCATTATCAATTGATTTTTTTTCCCCATGAAAATCTAAAACTGCAGCAATCAATGATTCAACACAATCAGTTTATTGTCCGTGTAAATCTGCTTTATCATTACTGATTTCAAACACAATCGTAATACAATCATGAAAATTCATTTACGACTAATCCAATCAGGTGTCAAATCCATCGCAACTAATGATCATCTAATCCATTATCTTCAAATGCAATCACAGTTTATTTGAGTCCAATCTCTCTAAATTGAAGATCAATCATTAAATGTAAAGTTATCATTTTTATCTTGCGCACCTGTTTTCTTGCCTTATATCCTCATTTAATTTTTTTCATGTTATTAGATCTCTGTTCATTTTCAATTCTTTTCCACACAACACCCAGCTTGCTTGACTGTCTAAATTCGAACTTTATGAGTATGTGCCATAAATTCCAGCTTCCAATGACAGTAGTCAACAAAAATATTGACAAGATTCCAAGACTGTTTGTGTTTCTTCTTTTGCTTATAGTGTTTAGACCCATGAATCAATATTAGGATCATCTCCTGGTCCATTAAGCTGTATGCTTGTAGCATGCTGTGACTCCGGTGTGTTGTCGTAGTTGTCTGTCAAACTCTGTCGGTACCTGTTCTTCTTCTCCTTATCAACTTTTGCATACACTGGCTCACGATTTGGTGACGTAGGCGTCATGTTCTCCTACAAAAATCAAAGTAAAATTTACATAAAGATCCAGTGATGTAAATTCTGAGAGTGAGTAGCCCAATATCCTGTTATGGTTTAGTGCAAGCCAGCAATTATTTTTCCTATCACACCAACCCATGCCACAATAGCAGTACATGTACAAAATGTTGGAATATATAATTGTACAGGATTAGATTTGTAAGCTGTGGAGAATGTTAACGTGGTCACTCACCCGTGTCATTCCGTACATTGGAACAGAACCTGCAGGTTGTTTGAATGAGTTGTTGTCAACACTAGAGTAATTCAAATCCTGCATGCCTATATGCTCATCTCCTGAGGGGTAACGGTGGTGCTCTATAAGTGATGTACAAAAGCAACATTTATGCATACAGTACTGACAGCATTAGTGAGATTCAGATCTGTGACAATGAGTAATCTGGGAAAGTTAAGACTTCTTTGCAAGGCATGAGTGCAGTGGTGATTATATTTGTAATACGTTGGTAGTCTATGTCGATTTCATCTGGCTTGCCTGTGAAATCATCCTTGAATATGATGTTGTAGAATGTTTTAATAGGGGCTGACTAGGATTCATATATAGTACAGAACAAGGGGTATGGGAAGACTATTTGATACCATTTATGTATACTTCGGATGCATATTTAAATGGATGCAGTTTAATATTATCTTTTTTACTGTGTTAATTATGACAATCATCTACCACAGGGACATCAGTCAGTGATGATTGCCACTCTTTACAGGTCATGACATATGTCACTGATAATTATCATATACTGTAGTCCCAGATTACTCATAGTCTCAGATTTAAAATTAATACAGTATCAACTTGCGCAATTCAACTCTGCATACAGTACTCTGTTTAATACACAATGAGTCTACATATAAGGTTTAGTGCATTTGGTATCTAAGTATATGGTTTAGTGCATATGGTATCTACATATATGGTTTAGTGCATAATAAAGGGATCTATACATCTACATATACATCTACATAAAGAAGGCGTGTCCACGTGTGTTTCGAAACATATGTAGAATATAATATAACGTAACAGTAAGGAAACTCAAATACGTAAGATATTGACTTTTATGCATTTTATGTCAAGCGTTGACAAAGACTACAGGAGTAGCCGAAATATTCGCCTAATAAATTTTAGTGTTTCTAAAGTCAACATTTTACGTATTTGAGTTTCTTTACTGTTACGTTATATTATATTCTA